TGACCCGCCTGCTTTTCCTTTACTCCTTCCTATCTGTTCACTTTACGTTTCACCTTATAAAGCACTGATATTGGTTAACTTTGGTGGCACCTTTCCGTCCACCTTCTATATTCTCGATCGGCGGCAGTCGTGTACTGTATTCGAGGACGTATCGGAACGACGATGAGAACCGTGCGCGTAAGAGAAAAACGCGTCTCTGTTCTCTCGTGGCTGGATGCAGGGGGCGAGTCTGCGTCGCCTCGACGATAGTAACTTGGAACCAGTCGAAGATGTAGGACAATTCCGAGGCAGATATTTCCGGATGGTTGCCGCGTGTCGTTATACCTCCCTCGATGGCTAGCTATAATTCAAAACATTTTTAACATCGTTCCATTTACCGCCGTCGATGTCTTTAAGCTCCGCGATCTTTCTCAACCTTCTCTGCCTGTAGGTAGTATCGGACCGAGGAGGCGAGCTTTCCGGACGCAACGGTTTCGATAAATCATCCCGAGAGAAAAAAAAGCAGTCAGGGAGAGAGAGGAGCGTTAACGTTGGCTGGCACTTTAAAAGCATCGCGCGTGTCAGGTTGAAACGCGAAGGAGGCCGCGCTTGTCCCGGGCGTTTTAAGGGCAGCAGCGCGGTGGCGGTGGCGATGGCGATGGCGATGACGATGGCGATGGCGATGGCGTTGGCGGTGCGGAGGGGTGGAAGCGAGCCGACAGGGGGCAACAGAAGGAACAACGGCGAGAGAGAGGAGAGGCCGGTGGTTTTAGCGGTGGAGAGGAGTCGGGAGAGAAGGGAGAGAGAAGCGAAACGAGGGGGCTCGGTACGTTTTCGACGTACAAAAAGTAATTATGGGATGGTTTCCGGTAATCATATCTAGAGCGCATTGAACGAGCGCATTGTTCGGCCACCCCTTCACCGATATGCACTTGTACGCGGCGCCGACCCCCTCTCGCCACCCTCTTCTACCCACTCCCATTACCGTTCCCAGCCTTCTCCGTTTCCCGGTACCCCTCTCACTCTTTCTCTCTTCCACCACGTCCACGCTACCAGCTTTACCACCCTCGGATCCTCCTCGCGTTATGTACGCCGCAGATTCGCCGACCATCCTGCACAGACCCGTCGCGACCATTAGGCTTCCTCGGTCAAGCACAGCCACGTGTCAGCGTTCCTTCAGGCTGCGACCGACCAATAGGTAGGTAAGTACTTCCTTCGCAGAATCGTACGCGTCTAGCACAATATGCGCGCGAAATAAGCACGAGTCGTGCCGCCGAACGATTTACAATCCACGCTAAGTCACTTCTTGCTAAATTTGTTTACGCATCATGACCCGTTAGTACAGCGTTATACATCGGGATTGTCCATATTTCAAAACGGCCAAAATTTATTTCTTGAAAAAAAGTCAGCGAACAGGTCTTGTTTACCGCTGACGTATGTGCCTATCTACTATATCAGAAATAAATTTCCTATTCGGAAGGATTAGCATTACTGGAACGATTCGAGATAGTCGGGTACGTAAATAGCGGCGCGTATGCAAACAGAAGGTACAGTGCGAAGATCGAGTGCGAAAAGAAAGCAACGTATGTATACGGTTGGTGGAGAAAGAAAGAACGTGGCAGGGAGGAAAGAGCAGAGGGCAAAAGTGGAAGAACGGCAAAGGGCGGAAGCGCGAGAACGCAGAGACACGGAAACGCAGAGGTGCAGGTCCGCGACCTGACTGACCCTGCGTCGACGGCCCGGTCGTCTTCGAGGCTGTCGGTCTACCCTACTCCGACGGCACCCTTACCCTCACCCTTAGCCTCGGGGGTGGATTGAAACGGGCCGGCCCATTTTTCGCGCCCCACTTGACTCCTCGTCCCCATTGGTCGCCGCCCTCTCGTCCCGTGACCTCTCATCCCTCGCCGTCGTTTCCCGGCTCGTACCACGTTTCATCCAACGGGTTTCATGCCCGTTCGTAAAAGAAGTATCCAAGGAAACCGAAGGAAATCCGTGAAAGACGAGCAACGGTTCGCTTATCGTCTTAACGTTATATATCCCGCCGCGACGCTCGACCGCGCCGTTTGTCCTCCGACTTTCACGCGTCCCGCCGTCACCGCCGAGCCCCTTTTTTTCTTTTTTTCCCTCACCGATAAACCGACCGTCCGAGTTTTCGCTTTCGAAAGTTAAGAAACTCGAGGGAACGAACAAGCAGATGCTATCCGACGACGATCGAAAGAAAAGCTCGGCGTGGCGCGTTCGTGGAAGAAGAAGGGAAGAAAAGTTGGATCGAATTTCGAACGGCAGGCATCCAAGAGAGAAACTATCGCTTGAACGCATCACCGTCGCGTAGGAAAAAAGAGCGATCGAGAGAGAGAGAGAGAGAGGAAGAGAGTGTAAATCGGACAAAGATTGGGCGCGTGCGGGCGACTGGTTCGATTTCGAGGGGTATGTGAAAAAAAAAATCGGTAGGTTCGGTGGAAAAGAGTTGGCGGCAAGAGCCCGGATGACCGAGCGGCGCGAGAGGCAGGGGGCCGAAGAAGAAGGAAGGAGGAACGAGTCGGGGAGAGAAAAAGAGACGGAGCGGAGTCGGTGAAAGGGAAGAAGAAGGAGGCAGGGGCGCGCGCGAACCGTGAGGGATAGAGCGAGAGAGCGAGTGGAGTGGCGGGGGGGGGGGG